AAAAAATAAAAAAAATAAAAAAATAAAAATAAATAAAATAAAAAAATAAAACAGCCCCAGACAGATCCCTCACCCCTCCCACCAGGTGGGGACACAAGGAGAAGGTGCTGTCTATGAAAGTTAGGGAGCGGCTTCTCACCCGATCCCACATCTACTAGCGCCATGGGCTTGGACCTCCTGGCTTCTAGAACTGTGAGAAATAAATGTTTGCTGTTTATAAGATACTGAGTTGATAGCATTTTTGGTATAGCAGTGTGAAGAGACTAAGACAAGTTCCCTTCCTTCCTACCAAGTGATCTTAACTGAAGGTCAGAGGTACAGTAATACTGCAGCTGTGATTCCCAGAAGAAAAACTAACAGTGAAAATACCAGTTTGGGACAAACTCAGCAGCAGATGGACCTGCCTTTTGTAGTCTGAAAGCACCCAGAGGCCAGAGGCTCTCCAGTGGTGCCTCGGCAGACCGGCCTAGAATTCAGACCACGGGGCTGGAGTAAGACCAAGCATCCCGGCAGTGGGGGGCTGCCTTGCCGCCTCGCTGCCTCTGGGGTGGTACCGGAGCCGGAGCTGGGAGCCCCCTGTGCTCCTGGGTGCCTCCGTTGGCCAAACTGACAGCGGGGACTAGGGACTGGGTCTGAGCAGCACAGCCGTCTCCCAATGCCTCTGGCCCCTTCCAGAGGCCAACAGCAGGGTGGGCGCCACCAGCAGCCGTGAGGTCCAGCCTCTCTTCTGTGTGCCACAGAAGCCTGGCCACCTGACTGGTCTGATCTGGGGACTGGGCCTAGTCCCTGCTGGCTGTTGTAAGCAGGTAAAGGACTCGCGTGGCTCCCAGAGCAAGGGTTACGCCCCAGCGGCTTCTCGCTCTCTTAAGGCGGGGGCCGCCTGCAGCGCTGGCCCCAGGACCCAGAGGCAGGTTCTGAGGTGCGCCCCTCCGGGTCTCGCAAGCGGCAGACTTGAGGCTGCGGCCCGCATTGCTTCTACAATCCGTGCATGTTCCTCGCTGACGTCAGTCGGAGCTGTCCTGGAGCTATATAAGGCTGGCGGCGGTCCCGGGACAGACCCCGTGGTCCCCACAGCGCCCTCAGCCCGCCCGAGGGACAGAGAGCGGAGCCCCGTCCTGCGACGTGCAGACACTCTCCCGCAACCTGTGAGTGGCTCGGAGCATCCGCCCTGACTCCCTCAGCACCAGGACTTGGCGCTCAGCTCAGCCACCACCAATCGCCCAAGGGGAGAGAGGGGGAGAGGGAGAGAGGGAGGATCGGGCTGGGCAGCGGCTGGGGCTGGAGGGAAGGCTGTGGGTACCAGGCGGCAGGCGCAGGGGAGCTGGATGCGCGCGGGAAGGGGAGTGGTGCCACCCGCGACTGCCCCGGGCGCACCTCACCCTGCGCTGCCCCTGTGTGTCCAGGGCCGGCGGCACCATGAAGCAGGGGGGACGCGCGGCACTGCTGGTGGCGCTGCTGCTCCTGGCACAGCAGCGCCCGGGGAGCAGCCGGTGGAGCCCGGAGGCGGCGGCGGCCGGGGTCCGGGACCCGAGTCTGCGCTGGAGCCCCGGGGCGCGGAACCAGGACGGCGGGGCCCGCGCGCTGCTCTTGCTGCTGGCCGAGCGCTTCCCGCGCCGCGCGGGGCCCGGCCGGTGGAGATCCCGGACCGCGGGCGAGCGGCCGAGACGGGACGACCCTCCGCTGTCCATTGATCTCACCTTCCACCTGCTGCGGACCCTGCTGGAGCTGGCGCGGACACAGAGCCAGCGGGAGCGCGCCGAGCAGAACCGCATCATATTCGAGTCGGTGGGCAAGTGATCGGCGCGGTCTGCAGCCACGAAAACCTCGACCCCCGTCCCCCACCCCCGGGCCGGGACGTGCGCGACTGGAACTGACCCAGTCCCGCGGGCTAGAGCGGCCCAGGGATGCCCGCAGCACTCTGTGCGTCACCTATTTTTAATAAAAGTGCTGAAGAGCCTTTGGCCTCGGTTGTGGGGCGCAGGGAAGCACAGCAGGGTGGGAGCCCGTGGAAAAGTGTGGCCTCCCAGGCCGGCGAGAGGGTACCGGATGCTCCACGAGGACTCCGGCAGAAGGGCTTTCAGCCGGGGGCTCCTGTGCCCCCATCGAACCCCAGGAACTCAAAGTCCTGGTGCCGCCGCCCCACCCCGACCCTCTTCCCTTGGCACTGGGCTCGCGAACCCGTGCTTGATATCAAGGAGATGCCCCACGGGGGTCATTCCACTTCCGCCCCTCAGATGGTCCCAGATCCGGAAAAGGGCAGGATGGTGATGGGGTCGCCTCCGAAGCCGAGGCTGAGAGTGAGCAGTGAACGGAGCTGCGGGTCTGGACGCATTAGCCCTTTATTGAGCCCCTCCCCCACGGCGGGGCGCCAAGCTGGGTCGCGCGGCGGTCTCAGCGCAGGTCCTCCGCGACCCCAGCGCCAGGCCCCAGGTGCGCGGGCTCCCCAACAGGGGGCGGGTCAGTGCCCGCCTGCGCCTGGGAAAGAAAGCTCGGTGGGCGGGCGCTCCACGGGAACAAGGCAGCTCCGAACCCAACTCACCCCTTTCCCCCAGCCACGTGCCTTTCTCCTCTACCGCCCGACCCAACCTGGTCTCCCAGAGCCCCCAGGAAAGGCTGGTGGGAAAGTGTACTTCCGCACGCGCGCTAGGGGGCGCGCCCCCCCTGCTGGGGCGGGGACGCACTTCAGGAGCCGAGGCCTGCAGCCATCCCGGGGGCTGCAGGAAGGCGTCACAGAAGAGGGGACCCGAGCGTAGGGCCAGCCCCGCCAGGCCCCTCGGGCCGCACTCACCTTCCGGCCGCTCTTCCTCAGGCCCTGCGCTGCCCTCTTCCCGGTCCAATGCTACCTCCTCATCCTCTTCCTCCCCGGAAGCGCCTAGCCCCAAGGAAGGCCCCGTGAGGTGGGGTCCCTGCTTCTCTGGCCGTGACGCCCCCCCCCCGCGTCCCCTCGGGACGCCCAGTCCCAGCGGCCCGCCGCCCCTTCCCATCCTCACTCCCTCACCCGGCTGGAAGTCGATGGTCCTCAGCATTTCGGCCACGTGCTCCACGCTCACGGTGAACTGCTCCATGCTTTCATAGCCCGGCTCTGGCCGTCCTGCCAGCTCCGCTTTCGACATTGCCCCGACCCTGCGGCGCGGCAGCCGCTCAGCTGGACCGGCCCCAGCACCCTCGACCCCCTGCGCGTGGCGGCGGAGCCCACACAGGCCCTGCCCTGCCCTGCCCGCTCCGCCTACTCACTTATTGATCAGCTCCTTGGCCTGCTGCAGGGAAGAAAGGAGGGTGAGCGTAAGCACCGTGCCAGGCGCTGGCAAAGTCCCATTTCTGGTGCCCACAGTCCTGCGGGGTAGGCGGGGATGCATATCCCGGTTCGTCGACGAGAAAACGGACTCAGCCGGGGTGACCTGCCCAAGGCCGTGGGGCAAGCGGGAGCCAGAGAGGAGACCGGAGCCCAGCCCTCCGGGTGCCGAGGCCCCCACCGCAGCCACTCTGCGGCCCGCCTCCCTCCGCCAGGGCCCACCTGCAGGTACAGCGCCATCTGTGGCTCCTCCATGGACTGGATGGCGGACTCCACGAGCTTGGAGGAGGCTTCCAGGTGGTCTCCATACTGGCGGATGAGGCCCCGGACTCGCTGCAGCTTCCCCTCCTGCTCGCGGGCCAGCGCCTGCAGCAGCTCAGCCTTGCGCTCCTCCAGCACCGAGCACAGGGCCTCGAACCTCTGGTTAAGCAACTGCTTCTGCCTCCGGCTGTTGTCCTGAACGAGGGGAGCAAGGATGAGACCTCTAGCTGGGAGAGCACTCACCTACTTGTTCCACTCCCCACTCCCCACTTAATGGAAGCCACAGACAGCCAAGAAGGAAAGTTCCCCACACATAGTGGCCGAGCCACAACTGCAGCCAAGGGCTGCTCATTCCCAGGTCTTTTCAGTAACAGCAATTACAAGTTTTTTTTAAATTGAGATATAATTGACTTTTAACATTATATTAGTTTCCAGTGTACAATGTAATGATCCCGTATTTGTAGATATTGTGAAATGATCACAAGTCTAGTTACCACTGTCACTAAATAGTTATATATTTTTTTTCTTGTGAAAACTTTTAAGATTTTCTCTCTTTAGCAAATACAATATTTTAAAGTACTTCAGGGGTATCTCTGGCCCTATTTTTTACTTGTATAATCTCATTTAATTCTCAAAAATATCCAGCGAGGTAGTCATCATATCATTCTCATAATCAGCAAAGCACAGAGAAGTGAAGTAACTGGACCAAAGTCACAGAGCTAGCCGGGGGGCACAGCTGGACTCAAACCTATATCCCACTACTTGTGATTCACCCCCAGGAACCCAGAAATTTCCCCTCCCTCCCATCTCAGGCTCACCTCAATGGTCTGGCACACTTCCTCCATCTGTGTGATCACTGCTTGCACACGGTCGTTGCCCGCGACCAGCATCGCGATGCCATCGCTGAGCTCGCTCTGCCACACAACAGGCCAGCCCTTAGAGCTGGAGGACCCTGTCTAGAGCTGTCCCCCCCATCCCAGCCAGGGCCACCTAGGAGAGGACTGCCCCTCTGCCCCACCATCAGAGCGGCTATTCCAGAGATCTAGATGGCTTGGAACCATCCAAGAAGTGTGGAAGCATATTTATGGATTCTGGAAGGAGGTGGAAAGAGGAGGGCCTCCACCACCAAATGAGAAAGACATTTGCCAAATATCCACCAAATGCCAGGCTCTGGGCTGAATGCTTCACCTGTAGATTCATGCCTTCCATCAATTCGGAAAGCTTCTTTGTAATTATGTTAGGATTGCCTCTTCTCCATTCTCTTTGTTTTCTCATTCTGTGACTCTGAGGAGACATATGTGCTCATCCTTCTCATCCCCCTGTGCTGCATCCTAGGCTGCTTTTTCAGGCCCACCTTCCTGTTCGCTAATTCTCTCTTCAGAGGACTCTGCCATTTAATTCACCTTTTCAGTGTTTTATTTCAACAACCACATTTTCATTTTTAAAAGCTCTATTTGGCTTTTTGTTAAATCTGCATGTTTGGTAATCTAGTATTGCTGGGGTTTTATTCCATCTTTTTAAGAAAGCATTTTATACACAGTGACTCTCAAGTCTTTAATAATTCCATTATCTGAATTCCTCAGGGGTTTAATCTGTAATTTTTGTTTCTACCGACTTCACTCATGGGGTACACTTCTCTCTGTATCTTCACTTTTGAATTAATATTTTGTTTTTCTTAATCTAAGGAGAACCCAAGGGCCTAAATTGAGGGGGTTTCCCTCTAGGCAGATTCTGCATTCACTTTTGTCAAAAGCCAGGCGGCACTTCTGACCACCTTGGTTCCTGAGATTCCAGTTTAACCTGGGATTCGTGGGGGTCTTCAGGTCAGGTGTCCACATTTCAGGGGTCTGAAGGCATATTCTCATCTCTCTAGCTCAAAAATACTGCCAGCATTTGCCCTCTGATATAGTTTCTATTTTATTTTTTAAAAAGATTTATTTAATTTATGAGAGAGACAGAAAGCAAGATCATGGGCAGAGGGAGGGGCAGAGGGAGAGGATCTCAAGCAGACTCAGTGCTGAGTGCAGACCCCGACATGCAGCTCCATCTCACAGCCCTGAGATCATGACCTGAGACAAAATAATGAGTCAGACACTCAACTGACTGAGCCACCCAGGCGCCCCACTGATATAAGTTTTAAATTATGTTTTAGGTCAAATGTAGTTGTGTGGTAGTGAGAGGGCCTGGAGAGCACCTCGGCCACCAAACTGAAGTTGCTGGTATCCATTATCTAATTGTATCTTAAAACAACTTTGGAAGTTGGCATTTTCATCCCCATTTTACAAGCGAGGAAAGTCAGGGCCAGAGAGGTCAAATGACTTAGCCATGGACACACTGAGTCATGCCCAGAACTGGGACAGTAGCCCTGATCTGCCAGCCTTTAAAAACCAAGTGGAGTGAGAGGCTGCAGTTGGAGACCCTGTCCCCTGTCCCCACCTCACCATGCCTGCTCCCTCTGCTGCTTGGTACCTTCTGGCGTTTGTAAATGGTGGGCAGCGGGGCCACCTCACAGTCCTTGTGGGCGCCAAAGACCTTACAGAGAGAGCAGGTGGGCACTTCACAGCTCAGGCAGTAGATGTTGATCTTCTCTTCTTCGTGCTCCTCACACATGAGGTGCTGCTCAGCCTTGGAGTGCAGTGGCCTGGAGGGGAGCGGGTGGGGTGGCAGGAGGGTCAGGGGCCAGGCTGCAGGGAGGTGCATCCTGTGAGTGTGGGGCATCCCAGGGTCCAGGCCTCTGATCTCTAAACTGATCCTCTCAGCCCTTCCCTTTTGGCTGATGAGTTCCCCCGCTGTGTGCCAGGCCCTGCTCGTTAGAGGGACAAGAGGTCCTGAGGGCTCACCGGGAAGACTCCTGCTTGTAAATGTCGATGATGTTCTCCACTAGCAGGTTTCGCTGCAGGCCATAGACACCATGTCTGTCCAGGACAACCTCGTGCCTGCAAGATGGGCAGCGGAAACGGCCTCCCGAAGACACGGTGGTGGAGCCCCGGGATTGCCACAGAGGGTTCGAGGCCTGTAGGGACAAGTAACATGAGAGAACAGGTACAGTGAGGCCTGAGGGACCAGGGAGGAGGCAGGGAGGAATGGTCATGAGGGCCGATGTGTAGGAGAATAGCGGAAGGAGAGGCATCAGCTCTTTCCGATGGTGGGGCCCTCCTCCTCTGAGAGCAGCTCAGGTGTGTGGCCATGGAGATCTTCTTTCCCGCTTTTGCCTCATTACTCCTTAAGCATCCCTGCATCTAGAGCCTAACTTTGGTCAAGGCCCAGTCAGGATGGGATTTCCCCAAAGGGGCCCAGCTTGCAGGTGTGGAGAGACACTGGTGTTGACAGGAAGGCTAAGGTTGGAAATGGACTCTGGGTGGTGCAGCCAATATCCTCCTGGGCTCTCATGGGCCACATCTGGGGAGAGGGGGGAGATTCTCTGGAGCCCTTGACAGGGAAACTGAGACAAGTGCTGAACAATGGAGCACACAAGCCACACCATGCTGGGTCATTCTAGGAAACCGTCCTAGAGACCGGGAGTCAGGAGACCTGTGTTCTTGTGCTGCCCCTAACACTGTTCTACCATGTAAATTTGAGCAAGCATTCAATCTGTAAAATTAAGGACGAGATTGGATTATTCCTTCTACAATAAATATTGAGTGTGCCAGGTAATTGCAAGGCTGTGGGGATAAGATATGAATAAATGCATCCCTGCCCTATGGATGAGCAAACCGAGCAAAGCGACAACTACATTCAGCAGGCTGGGTGTTATGATAAGAGTAAGCGCAGAAGGAGGATTTACAAGAGATGTTCATCACTTCCACCTCTTAGAGAACTTGCTCCATCCCATCCTAAAAGGGAGAGCCCTGCCATGGCCCAGGCCACAGATGATTGGCTCAGCATTGAGGAGGTGATCACCTGACCCAAGCAGAACCAATCAAATGTTCTCTCCAGGAATTTGGAATGGAGACACAGAGGTGGAGGTGGCTAGACAGTGTGCAGCTTTGAAATTGAAAAGACTTGTGGAGTTGGGCCAAGAACTGACATTGTGGCCACTCTTAGTCTTGTGAAGTGGAAGTGGAAAGCAGGAGGGGTCAGAAAGTGTGAACAGGAAGGCTGGTCTTCAGAGAAGACAGAGGGGTCAACTGTGGATGGCAGGAGAGATAAGAGACTGGCAGAGACTACTTGTTGTTCTTCGATATTTACCTTGTCTTCTTCAATAATAGAACCTCTGAATTTTTAGCAAGACACATGGAATAAAGATTGTGTGTTCAAGCCTCCCTTCTGGCTGGGTGTGACCAGGTGACTGCATTCTGGCCACTGGGATGTAGATAGCAATGTTTGGTGCCATTTCTAGGAAGTATCTTTAATGGAGGGGCATGCCCTCCTCTTTTCTCCTTCCTGCTCGCTGGAGTGAAGATGGAGTGGCTCAAGTTGAGGCAGCCATGTTGAGCCATGAGGTAGTCACATGATGAGAATGGCAGCAAGATAAAAGGAGTGGGGCTCTGATGAGGCAGTCCTGAACTGCCTGCCTATACTTCCACTTGAGAGAAAAACACACGTTTTCACCTTCTTAAGCCATTGCTATTTTGGGTTTTCTGTCACTTATGGCAGAACTTAGTCTTAAATGGCTGGAAGACCATGGACTCGTAGAGGGTAACGGGGAGAATAGTCACCTGTGACTTTGCAAATTTAGATGTATTTCCTGCAGTTGATTTCAATGGAATTCTCCAAATCCTTATGCTGGACATCAGCCGGAGGGCACCTTATTTGTGCAACAACACCCAGAATACATACAAGCGTCCAAGTCCACAGTCTTGTTTGAACCTTTAAAAGCAAGAGGTGTAGGCAAGGCAGGAAAAGTGACCCCTGTGGAGTGGGCAAGCCTACCTTGGTGAGAGTGACTGGTATGTGACAAATGTCACATTTTGGGGGCATTTCTTGTGAATCATAAGAAGTTAACACTTCAGGCTGTCATAGAGCCAAACGGTTTAGTTTGAGATTATCCAAGGCTGTGTTTGTGCCTTTGTCCTTCTTGGCAGCTGGAATTGTATAAATACTGCTGAGTTTACTTTAGGGAATGGGTTAAAGTGTAAGATCACTGGGCTTTTGCTTACTTAATACCATTACCTTTCATTATTTAGAATCCAAGTGAGTAAGGAGCTGTTGGGAGAACCGTAAGCCGCAAGTTCCTGGAAGGATCTGACTTCTCTTTGATTTGCTGCTGGCTCAGTGAAGGTTTGAATGGGTAGAAAGGGGGCAATATTCTAAAATCTTAGCCCAGGGCGCAAACTCCTGAATGGCCTCTCTCCCCCTCTTCCTCAATATTCATTATTTAACATTCAACACATGTTTTGAGGGTCTATTATGTGTCAAGCACCATGCTATGGGCTTCCCAGACATTACTGAATTTAACCCTCAAGGATTTCTTGTAAATATAATGGAGGAGATGAACATTTACGCTCCCCCGAACTTAGACTACAGGAAATATAGTGACAGTGGCTAATTGGGCACATACTTCATGCCAGGTTTTGCTCTAAGTCCTTTTATTTGTATTAACTCATTTAAACCTCTTACCAACCTTATGAAATAGGTACTACTATTAGTGCCATTTCAAAGACAGGAAATTGTAGCCCAGAGATGTTAAATAAATTGTTCACGGTCATCAGATAATAGGTGACAGAACCAGTATTTGAACTCAGGCACTCTGACCCCAGAGCCCATCCTAAAAATCAATATACTACATTGTCAGGTGCAATAAAATTGAGGCCACCTGAAGAATGATGCCCAGGGCCAATATTCGTCTCTCTGAATCTCAGGTGGAAACAGATTTTTATTAAGGCCAAACATCAACCCTTCACAAAGGAAAGAAACAATGTAAAAGTCATCTGTGCAACTGCGGATTGATGTTATTTGAGCAGAGATAAACAAAATATGACCCATCGAAACCAAAACCTCGTGAAGCAATATAAGGGTCCAGCTTGCAACCAGAATGACCTGTTTGTCTGTGCAAAGGAAAGGAAATAGCTCAAATCTTTGCAAGACTTCCTCCCATGGATCTCCACATGCCCCCAAGAAAGATAATTCCTCAGATTCGGTGTGAAAAATATTCTGAGGCAACATAACCAAATTGAGACATTCAGTTACCTACTAATCCAGGTCATACCCCTCTAATTCACCAAAGAACCAAAGGACCAAACAGAGATTGCAAACCAATGATAACATCCAGCTAGCCAGTTTACATTTAGGTGACAGTGAAAGAAAAGCCAAGGTAAACAGAGGGTTGAGTAAAGAATTCACCCTCAGCCTCAGATGGAACTACCCCTATTCAAAGAGGAGTGATAAGCAGAAAGGATCTAACAGGAGATACAAGCCGAGATATAAAAAAAAAAAAAAAAAGGAAAAAGAAAGCATGACAAGCAAAGGACAGGTGAAGAAGATGCTTTAGAAGAAGAATTGCTCTAAGAAACAATATTTCAATCTGACCTTTTTAAAGAAATAAAGAAAACATAGTCACTTTGATTATAGAAGAGATATAAGTAAAGGGGCCCCTCGGTGGCTCAGTTGGTTAAGCAGCTGCCTCTTTCGGCTCAGGTCATGATCTCAGTGTCATGAGATGGAGCCCCAGCATCAGGTGCTGTACTCAGCGTGGAGTCCACTTGTCTCTCTCCCTCTGCTCCTCACCAACCCCTGCACTCTCTCTCTCTCTCTCAAATAAATAAATAAATAAATAAATAAATAAATAAATAAAATCTTGAAAGAAAAAGAAGAGATATAAGTGATCAAAGCTGGAGAAGAAAAATGAACTGGCAGAATTAAGAAATCATGTAAAATATGTTACCAACATAGAAACAAAATTCACATTTGATACAACAGCAGGAAGTAGAATGCATGACACGGATAGTCACACAGACTGTGGTGGAAAATGACAGGATCAAAGTAATCAGGACTACATGTGACAATGTGGGTCAACCTTGAGGACACTGTGCTAGGTGAAATCAGCCTGTCACAAAAGGACAAATACTGCATGATCCCTCTTATATGAGGTACCTGAAATTGTCAAATTCATAGAGATAAAAAGTAGAATGTTGGTTGCCAGGGACTGGGGGGTGGGGGAGTGGGGAGTTATTTTAATGGGTACAGAGTTTCAGTTTGGAAGGATGAGAAGTTCTGGATATGGTTATATGACAATGTGAATATAGTTAATGCCACTGAGCTACACACTTAAGAATAGTTAAGATGAGGGTGACTGGGTAGCTCAGCTGGTTAAGCGTCTGCCTTTGGCTTGGGTCATGATCCCAGGGTCCTGGGATGGAGTCCCGCTTCGGCTCCCTGCTCAGCTGGGAGCCTGCTTCTCCCTCTCCTTCTACCCCTCCCCCCTGCTTGTGCTCGCTCTCTCATGCCCTCTCTCTCAAATACATAAAATACTAAAAAAAAGAATAGTTAAAATGATAAATTTACACTATGCATTGTACCACAATATAAAAACGTGTTTTTTTTTTTTAAGATTTATGTATTTATTTGAGAGGGAGAGAGAGAGAATGAGGAGAGGGAAAAAGAGAGAGAGAATCCCCAAGCAGACCCTCTCCTGAGCGCCAAGCCCTACCCGGGGCTCAATCCCAGGACCCCCTGGGATCACGACCCCATGAGATCATGACCTGAGCCGAAACCAAGAGTCGGGCACTTAACTGACTAAGCCACCCAGGTGCCCCTAAAAAAAAGTTTAAAAAAAGCAATCAGAACTTGTTGGGATGTCTGGGCCAAGGGGGGTGGACCAGGAAGCACGCTACCTCTTCACCACTTTCCCACCTTGTAAAGACATTTTAGCAGCTCATCCTATCGGCTAATCACTACCATTCTCTTGGGACCCAGGGGTCTGAGAGACAATTGGAATCAGGCAGTCCAACCTAAATCCTTTGTTTGAAGAGCATATTTCTGGGGAACTGGAGAGCTCACTGGCAGGTGGTAGGGAGGGGTCGCATCTCTGCCGTTTTTTGCAGTTTGGCTATAGACCCAGTGCTGCTCCCTGGA